GGTCTTTCAAAGTAGCCATTGCTCAGAGACTGGCTGGGCATCGGTCTGCTGCTGGGAGGTGGTGAGTGATTGCTTTTGCATCATTTGGTGCGTTTTCTTTTCCTCTTTCCTTCACTTATTAAACCGCTTTTATCTTGACCCACAAGTCTTCTTGCTTTTGCTCTTCTGATTCTCTCCCCCATCCCACAGGGGAGGATGGTGAGCAAGTGCAAGGATAGGCGTTTAGCTGCTGGTTGGAGTCAACCCACTGCACCTCCTCACTACGGTTGTCTCAGTTTGGAAACCCTGTGTCAGCGTCATGGCTGTGCCTAGTGCCTCTCCTAATGAGCATGGCCTCACTTTGCAGCAGACTATGTTTCCCTGAGATGAATTCTGGGGGTGGATCAGGGATGAGCAAGTTTCTTGAGCCAGCTAAGAAGATGCTGTACCTGTGCATGCCCAAATCCAGCTACTGCTAGTAATGTTTCCTACTGGGTGCCAGTGACAGCCCACTCCCAGCCTTGCAGAACATCACCTGGCACAGAAGAGATTGGAAATGGACCTTGGGAGGTAGTGGCTCTAGCACAGAGGCAGCAAAGCACTTGTGAGCCAGACACGGCAGAGCCTTGAAAGTGTCTCCTAGGAGTCCAGACACTTCTCAGTGCACTTTACAAAACAGCTCAGTCTTTTTAGGTGGGGAAACTGAGGCACACACCGCACTCCATGGAATTGCTTATAGCAAAAGCAGAGAGGTAGAGAGATATAGCCTTGTATCCCGTCTCCACCAGCAGACAGCAGAGAACAGGGAAAGCAAAGCGACCACCCCCTGACAGGCACCACAACCAGCCACATGTTTCCAGCTCCCAGCTATTTGCAGCTTACAGATGCCCTGATCCAGAGCCATTCTGCCCATTTTGTCCAACAGACACAGGCTCCCTGTGGTGGAGATGGACCCCTGAACATCACTGCCATGCCTGGGCAGAGGCTCAGTGGAGCCCTGAAGCCAGACCTACTCGTACTATTACAGGGTCTGGGGTGCATACTTCCTTCTCTCAAGGCAGGAAGGATTTGCCTGTATTTCCACCGCAGAGCTAAGCAAGTAGCAAGGAGGGAAGGCTGCCTCTTGCTCAGGGAGCAGGTTAATAAGGCCCTGAATTTACTGGTCCAGATATACTGATGCAGTGTCATGCACTCCTGGAAACCCTAGCCCTTCAAAATGCCTCAGGCAGGGTGGAAGATGGCTGGGCATTTCAGGACACAGTGGCCCTAAGGGCTAGGGAATGTACACCTTGCCACCGATGATAACACACCCATCTGGGAACCATCATGATCGTTTTTGTGGAGCAGCCAGTTCACATGGGCAGCACAGGATACACCATGCCTGAGCGGTGATGCTCACATGGACCGGTTGTCCTCCAACACCTTCATCAGCACGGGCAGTAAGAACTCAGCATTTACAAGAGCACGAATTCCAGGCACTAAAATGGGACCTGGCGTCCCACCACATAGGGAAGTCTTCAAGGTTTATCACCCTTGTTTGCTACAGCCAGTGTGTTTAAAGACCCAAGCCTGCAGGATAGAAGGTTCTCTGCCAACAGGGATGTCCTCACCCCAAGAATCCACAACAACCAAAGATAGTCATAGCATGAGAGGGGATACAGTGGACAACTAACACAAAATCAGTGTAAGGAGGGAAGACTGCAACAACAGAGGTGCACATAGCCCCGTTGTGGCAGTGAGGAGCGGGCACAAGTCATGTACCAGACTTCTTGTCCCCCTATCTCTGAAAGAAAAGTGCACTTGGGGAAGGATTTGAACAAAGGTAGAATTTTCCACTTCTAACGTGCCAGGGCGAGAGCCATTGAAGAGGAGAGGACAAATCGGTGCTCTCAGGTTTCTTTTTTCTCAGTGTCCCAAGAGTCTGAGGAACCCAAGAGGGTCAGGGTCCCATAAAGTGGCTATGCCATGCTATCTTCCCTTCTTCGTGATGCTAGAAGCCAGGCCAGTGGGCTGGTGAGCTGTGGCAGGCACAGGGGATCCCTGCGCAGCAGCGAGCAGGACAGACCCACTGGGAGGGCTGTGTGAGGAAGAAGACAACCATGTGTGGCTTATGCTATGTTCATGAGACCTGATAGGCCCTGACAAACAAGTTTTTGCGCCCTTTGAAAGTCCCCCCTGACGTCTGAGCCGTTGGAGATGCTGTTTTCAAACCTAGCTCTGCAACCACATGGGTAAAAGCTTACATGAATCCGTAGACCCACATAATCCCTAGATTCCAGGAGCTCAGGACTTAAGAAAACTCTCACCCAGTTCATCAGAGCTGGCCATGCAGCAAACCAGACATAAGCAGAAACGAGGCAGACAGCAGCAGCTCCGCAGACTATCTGCTGCAGCCCAAAGGCCCGTCATCTTCAGGAATGCTTGTCTTTACAAATCCATCCATCCCTGCAGGGTGAACTGCAGTGCCTGGCCATGACTTTGTGTACAGAAAAGATCCCCTCCTTCCGCAAGGCAGGAGGAACTTTAAAAACTTCATCCCCTTGTGACAGGAAGGACTTTACAGCCTTAATTGCACCCAGAGGTGGGAATTACAGACCTGCCTTGGCAGCCTGTCCCATTGCCAAACTTCTTGCAACAGCCCCCATCCCTAGTGAACTTCCACGTCCCCTCCCCTACAGAGGGTCTGCGTCCTCCCCACACCAGGGAAAAACCCTGGGCCTTTGTGGTTTCCCCAGGTCCTCCAAGAGAGCCATCACACTGCCCCTTGGCCTGCATCGCTTCACCCCCATCACCAGCATGTCTTTGTGCAGGAGCACCCATGCAGGAGGGCATGCCCTGGCCCATCCCCGTGAGGTTTGGTGTACAGCATATGTTTCCTGGGGTGTTATGCACTGCAGCTGTGCCTGTAGGTATTCTCCTAGCTGCTCCTGGGTATCAAGCCCATCAAGAGCCATCAAGCCCTGCACCTCTTGGATAATACTTAGCAGGTCCCACATAATCCCAAGCCAGACAGCTCCTGCTCTCTCCCCACACTGAACAGACTCATTTCCATTAGCTGCTTACTCCAGCCCAGAAGCACCGTCTGCATCTAATTCAAGCAAAGCCAGGCTAAGGTGAGGGACAGTGAAAAGACCTCACTCGTGTGAATGAACCTGACATAGCCTCCCCACAGAGAAGTGTCACGTACTTATTACACAGCAGGGAAGGCAATTGCTTTACTTAAATAAGGAGCCATATATTTATTTGCATTGTAATCACAAGGTTTTGTAAGCGTATTGAAGTAACGCTGTATCTAATTGCCCATGCTGTGTTCCCCAGTCATCTCTGAAATGCTGTTTTATTGCTTACAGCAAGGCATGCAAAGCAATGCACTTGGTTATTATTGCAGCTGAACCGTACTGGATTTTTATGCACTGAGTTGTTTATATTTCACTTCTCACTGGTTAATTAGTTGTAATAAAGTAGAACCTAGTCTGCTGTGTTGGTGGAGTGCGGAGGCCTGTCAGAGAAGGACATGATGGAAATCAGGACTTTCTTGCCTGTGCACTGCAGGCTTTCTGCAAAGTTTTTCTGAAACTTTATTTAATGGAATTCGAATTGCTCAATGGCTATATGTTGCCATGGGAGGAAATGTGTGGGCAAAGGCCCAAACCTGCAGCTACTAAGTGTGTCTACAAGCCAAAGGTGGGGATTCCTCTATTAACGAGTTTGAACTTTTCGCACGATTTCATGGGGCTGAAAGCAGAGAATATCATTCACTGGTGAAGTTCTCAGTTTGACTGCAGAGCTGGGACCGCCCTGAGATCAGGGCCAATGCTGGGGGCTTCTGGGAAGGTGAAAGACCTCTAGGCAACATAGCCACAATGATCAGAAAATGGGGCTTTGACAAATGGTATATTGGCATGCCAATGGATGCCATGGGATGAACTAGAAAGGGTGTAAAAGGGATTCAGTTAACACAAACTGCAGCACAAGCACTAAAGCTTCGGCTTTATTTTCTTGACTTTTTTAACAACCATTTCCTGCATAGACGCACTAAGCTACCTTCAGCGGGGCAATCATGGTTTCTTTCTCCAGATCCACCACAGAGTCAATGACCTTTGGATGACTTTTTCCCCTTT